AAATTTTTCTCTCTCCCTCTTCGACTCCCTATATGGGTCCTATAAGCATAGTTCGTGGCGCCCGCTTTGCGCATGGCCCTGTATACGGCACTTTTTTCCTCTGAACCCTCAAGACATTCCTCATCGTACCAGTTGTTCCTTTAGGCTCAGTGAAATCGTATTTCTGGATTTTGTGTAATCGAATGCATTTATTATCGACAAAATGAGCTATGTACATTTGAAAAACTACTTAATGCACAACGAAAAGTATTAACAATCACGATCAGTGATTCTGGATAGCTTAGCTTCCATCTTATTAAATCTCGAATTACTAATCGAAATTCCCATACAGTCCCTGATACAAAATGTAGGTTGGATTTTGTAAGATACGGCCAGTTCTGGCACTGCCAAAAATGATCTCAGTTAAAGAAAACTTCCCACCACCAAAAGTGATTATCTCAAAGGGAAGCTATTATTCCGGAGCCAGCCCAGGCTATAGGCTGATAAAGTTATTTAAGTCAAGATTACCCTTTTAAGGCTGTCCCAAGCAGATACTGTCCTACATATTGCGTGAGAGTGCTAGTTGAGGGCCTACGAGAATCTGTTCAGCGCCAGAAGTGATTATCTCTGTTCAATTTTTGCTTGCTAGGGCTTGTCCAAATTCTATTGGGTGATAACGTTGTTGAGAAAATCGATTAAGTGCTAGAATAGATTATCTGTAGAAGGGGTTTTCAGTTATGGAAATCTAGCAAGGCTCTAAATGGAATCAGGCGTTTATCTAGAGAATTTACGGAAATTCATGATATTTCACATGCATTTTAGGTTTATATGTATGTATAAATTTTTTTGTTTTGCTCGTCCTGTGAAAAAATGTTTATGGAAATGTCATCTTTTATGTGCACACTCCTCAATTATACTGGAACCAAAAGTAGCAGGCTTTTTGTCCGGCTTTCGTCACATACTCTGTCTGTACATCAACACGCCTATCATGTACGATGTCTTGTTAAGATTAGCAATGTAATCACTAAGAATGAATTCATCTTGGGCATTTATATAAAGGTGCATTGAGTGTGTGCTTCTTTCTTTCTTTCTATCAGAAAAGTTTCTGTCAGAAAAGTGCAAAATCACTGAATATGATGGACTATTTACATAGTGTTGATTTTTCACTAGAAAGAAATGCGGCATTTCTTGTATTTAAAGCAGTCACTAACCAGTTTTCTTCCATCTTTTTGAGCTTTTGAAGTGATAGGCGTTTCGTGTTCGATTTCTCTACTCTTTTTTTCTGATACAGCTTGTATTTTAAAGGGAAAATGTTGCCCTTTTCATCAGAGATGCACCTACATGCTTTTTCTGATTGATTTTTCTTTATTTTACTTCCATTGACACCTTTCCTTCTACCTTCGGTTGTCTGCAATATTCGAATATCTTCTAATTTAGCTTCTAAATAGGATGAGATTTAAAAATAAACACGGCTTGAAAGCGTATTTTAAGAGGCGCACTTTAAATTGCCAACGTGGTTCCTCCATTTGAATCATAATGCAATACTCACAACACAATTACAGGCCAAACACATAGCATAAATTTCATATTCAAATATTTCTCTTATAATTTTCCATTTTGCTTACTTTTATAACATCAATTGAGTACCTTATCTATAATCAAGCCTCCGCAGTTGTACACCAACACAATTTCATCTGCTGCTTAGCCTATAATTTTCTTCCAGTGTATACATTACACTGCTGAATGTTTAATGACCGGAGAGCGCAGTTTAAATAGCAAACTTGAAATGCGTTAAAAAGAACTTGCGGCAACTGAAACAGCTGATTAACACCGACCGGTTGACACACTTCAGAATCAACTTATCACCGAAGCCAACTCTCAACTACTCTCACTCACGCTCAAATTTAACTACAAAACACGCTTCTGCAAAACAATAAAGAAATGAAACTGAAAAGCACTCAAGCCATACTTCACTTGGCCATGGACTTGAATTGCAGTTGAGTGGTCAAAAAGAAATTAGTTTGATCAGAGCTGCGCGCGCAGTCGTTGGACGAACGTTGAAGTAAGTTGTTTATATTGAAAAGGAGAAAAGTAGAGATAAAGTCGGTGAAAATTTATGCAAAAAAGTGCAGAATGATTTGCTAGGTACTACTAGCAGCAGTGCAATTTATAAGAATTAAAAAAAAAAATTCTATAACAAACTGAAATTTACTTTTTTACATACACAAGTTAAATTTGTGCGTGAGTTGTGGATATGATTATTTTTTTTCATTACTAACTGTGTGTAACTACTTGTACTCAAAGTGGCATGAACTATTTATGTACTGCCACCGACTCCAGTCATAAAAATTTTATGTGCTATTAAAATGAATGTGACCCACTTTCAACAAACGCATAGAAGTAGCAGTGACGAGAGGCATATTTTTGCTAAAAACAATATATGCATATTAATTCCAAATGTTTTAAAAATGCTATCAAATCATGCGAATTTAAAAATTTTGATCATAATTGAATTTCCACTTTCATGCGCCTCAAAGTCGTTTACTCGCTAAAAAAAAGACAAAACAACTATAACTCGTCAATCGCGATTTGTCATCGAAATTTCTCCCAACACCCATTTACTGCGCGTCGAAAGTGTTTTTATTTTAATTTATTTTGTTTAATTTATTTAGTTTGTTTTTACTTTTTTCTTATTCTTACACTTCTTGTTATTGTATACATGCATACCTGGACAGTATGCGCGCAGACGCATTGGCTTCAATAGCCACAGCGCGCTAAACGATAATTTAACATGCTTCACGACGCGTTTTTTCTCACTTTCCATGTTGTGTGTTTATTTGTGCACACTTGTGTACATTAGACTGCACCAGCTCACCAGCAAACAAAAAAATTTTGTGTCTAAAGTATTTTTGCAAGGCGATTTCGAAATAAATATTTTTTTTGCGCCTTTATACATTTTTTGGTGCCCTCTACATTCGACAATAATTTTTTTGTATAGTTCTACTGGAATAATCTAAATACTTACGTAGCTGTAATTTACTTGACATTGGGGTGGTAGTAACTGAGATCTGCTGGGTAAGTACTAGAACGGGTTACTAGGGGTCAATGAACATTGAAACAAACAATTTTCTTCTCGAGACAAAAACATTTCTAAATCTTACTTTACATGCTGAAGTTATGACGAATAATTAAAAAAAATATATTAAAGAAAATATATATAACTTTTTTTTTGAAATCGCTATGCAAAAATATTTCAGACTCAGTGGCGTGCGGCGAACTTTTTGTGTCTGGTACGATCTAATGTACAGGCATACACATGTATTAATGTGTGCCAAATAAATGCACTGACAACAAGCTATGTACGCTTGGCGAGCGTTTTATTTAGTATTTATGTTGTATATTTTGTTTTTTAATGTCAAGCGTTTGCTTTGCTTTATTTTCTTTCTTGCATTCACCGGCTTCACTATTGGATCTGTGCCAAAAGAAAGTGCAATTTCTTTGATGAGCGTTTTATATGACAAAAAAAAAAAACAAAAAACAATTAAAAACGTGTTTGGCAAAGTTTAATTGAGTATCTTTCGATTGCATAATTACTAAGATTACATGTAAACAAGAAGCAGAATAACAACACAAAAATATGTCTTGCAATTGGCTTATTTATTTGGCCTACTTTACGCTGGCACCAACATTACTGCCAGCTATTTCATACCATAAACGTAACTACGATTTGAGATATGCTAACTCGGATATACCGGAATGGAAACAAAGGGTGAGTTTTAGTCAGCTATTTTAAATATGAACTTAGGCCCAGATATTTCAATTTACTACGCTAAAAAATAAATTGAAAATACTTCCACTTTTTCACTTTTAATATACGGCCGTTCCATATTGAATGCAACAAAAACTAGTGATTTTCTGCACCAAGCTAACTTACAGTAGCGAAAATATGAATAGAGACGCGAAATTTCAACAAATTGTGGATATTTTTTTTTATTTAATATTTATTTTCTTTTTTATGAAATTAAAGCTAGTTATTTAAGAAAAACTATATAAGTCCGAATTTCAGACTTTGCGTGTTAAAAAATTAGGAAGATTCGAAAAAGTTTCATCAAAATTTCGTTTTTTTAGAAAAATGTTATGCTTTTCTTAAATACATTTGTGCTTTTTTGAAATACATTTGCCCTTTTCTGAAATACATTTACGTTTTTCTGAAAATCATTTGAACTATTCTGAAATACAATTGTGTTTTTCTGAATTTCATTTGTCTTTTTCTGAACTTCACTTGGCTTTTTCTGAAATACTGTTGGAAAAGGTGTAGTTTAGGAAATATCAATTTTCCAAACATTTCCAACTTTTTTCGCAATTTGTTGGTTTTCTTGATAAAAGGTGAAATATGCTTGAGTATACGCTGAGGTAGGAATTTCAGTTGAAAATATAAAAGTTTAAAAAGGATAATAAGTCTCTCTTATTAAAATTTCAATTCGAAAATGGGCTGTTGTAGCTGATTGGGTAGAGTGCATATTATAACAATAATAATTATCTCTTAGCAAATCCCGGGACCGATTCACGGTGATTAAGTATAAAAACGAAATAAAAAGTTTTTACGCATTTTCTTCATAGGAGCAAAGCTTTCTAACTAAAGGCAACGAAAAATAAAAATTTTAATTTTTATAAATAATATTATTTATTAAAATTGAAAATAAATTGGATATTTTGAGTGCAAAATGTGCTAATCAGATAAGATAATAAAAAAATTTTTTTTCCAAAAAAAATTCTGGAATCAAACCTGCAACCTTCGGATCTCTTGAACTTTTGTTTTCGCTTGAACCCTGTATTGTATTATTTGATTTAATTTAACAGGTGTCAACTCTAAAAAAATAGCCTATTTTTCAATCCAGGTCATAAGGTGTTTGCAAAATTTCATGAAAAACCGTCGAGAACAAAACAATCCCAACACACAAACATACATGCATATGTATGTGTATCAAATACTCAGGGCAATAAAATTTATTTAATGACAAAATTGTTATTCCTAATTACATTCCAATTGCTACATAAGCAAATTATTAACTATTTATACTACACTGCAATATTTGTTATTATTTTCAGGCTTGTCAAAAATCTCAAAGAGAGAAAATTAATTTACATTACATTTGCGATGAAAAGGGTAATGTCAAATGTCTGTCCGGCTGGCAAGGTGACCTGTGTCAAGTGCCGCTGTGTCGCAAAGGATGCGATCCAATGAATGGTAAGACAAAATCAATAGTTTAGGAAATTAAATCAAGAAATAATAAATTATATAAGGGCATGGATACAGATACTAATATATATTAATGTCTTGGATTCAAGAAAATTCGATAAGGATCTATCATTCGACAAATTAAAGTCACTCATACGCTCTGTCATTCAACCAATTTTTCTTCTTGTATCCAAATAAGTTATATTGATTTAACTAAACTGGCATTTATTATGAACAATAAATTTATATGAATGCAAAATTAAAAACAATAACTGAGAACTTTATTTATTTCCATAAAATATCACTATCAGTGCTGATGACAAACTTTTCACACACCCCAAAAGCTATTCAATTGTAAATAGATAATTTATTTTCAAAGCTTTGCCTGCATCATTTTTATCGATTTTATCACTTTTCATCATTCTTACTTACACTCATAAATGCCAACACATTTGGTTGCTAGGCCCAGACCAATTAATAAAAGCAAATTCAACAGCAGACTTCTTTAAGCTGGTCATATAAAAAAAAAATACCTATGTACTTGTAGGAATATTTGCAAACACAAACTAAATGATTTATTCTTCTTACAGGCTACTGCCAACGTCCGGACGAGTGTCGCTGTCGCATCGGTTACACAGGCGATTTCTGTGAACGTTGCATACCACTGCCGGGCTGCCAACATGGCTATTGCAATAAACCGTTCGAATGTATCTGCAAGCCAGGCTGGGATGGGCTCTTTTGTACCGAACGTAAGTGAATCTGAATATATGTACGTGTGTGCATACATACGTATACGTGTATACGTTAAGAAGATATTTCATATTTAAGCAAAATTTCGTAGGCCTTAACCAAATTTTTCATTCACATATACATACATTTCATACTTACATGCACATACACCTATCAATAGGCAAAAAAGTATAGCCACTTGCGTGTTCCAAACTCAATTTCATTTTTAACTTTGCTTTGTTTTTAGCAACCTGCCGTTCGGGCTGCCACAATACACGCGGCTACTGTGAGGCTCCTGGTGAGTGTCGTTGTCGCCTAGGTTGGGCGGGGCGCAATTGCAGTGACTGTGCCGTACTGCCCGGCTGTCAACATGGTACATGTCAAAAGCCACTCGAATGCAATTGCTTGCCAGGCTATACAGGGCTACTGTGCCAAACAGGTGACTATACATAAATACTACACGCATATGTATGTATGTAGTAGAGGGCGTGCGGTGAGAGTGTGTGTGGCTTAAGTGAGAATTAATTGAAAAATTCCGTAACTGATAAATTTAAAAAAGGAAATATTTGGTTGTAACGCACGCACTTGTATACTTGCACATACATATATTCAAGCGTACGAATGGCTCGAAATTCAGTGTGTGCTTGCGATTTTGTGTTAAGCACAAAATTTTGGTTTCTAGGCTTTAGCCTGAAATTAATAGTTTTTGAATGCACACTTTTGTTGATAGATAATATAAAAATTTTACGATATTTGTATACAGATATTTCGGAAAGTATCTCTAAGCTCTTTTTTTAGTGAAAGTTTTAAAAAGTACGCAAATTTCGCAAAGCTGATCAGTTACAACTAAACTTTTTCGTGTTGTTTTGTAATTTTTTTTCTTGGTCGTACGTTGTTTCTATTCAAGATTGATTCAAGCACCCTGGGGCAGATTTTATCTTCCCAGCTCATCTCCAGAAGGGACCTCCACACCTGCTAATCGAATACTGCTAACTAAATTCAGGGCAGAATATGCGCGAAAATCCCTACTGCTGCTATAGCAAGAAGTAACGGGCAGAAGCATCTTCGAGTTAGTAGGAATTCATCCGCCCAAAGAAACACATACCGATGCATCAATCTTACAACCTTTCCGTGCCTATCATTCCTGACAGATCAAATGTCCAAGAACTCTAGCGCAGGAAGGAATGAGGTTCCACAGAGAAAATTTATCCACCCTCTATTATGGAGTATCCATCGGTTTAAACGAGCTACTCTCTCTTTTTAGTCACAAGGACTTCGGTTTTCCATTGTAATCCTAATCAGAGGTGGATTCGAAGGCACCAGCTCTGGCCTCCTATGGAAAACGCTGAACATATTCGTCAAAACGATTTCGACATCGGCTCCAAGAAGACTAGTATCTTTAATTTCGTCAGAAGAGGGGCAATGTGAAACCTCGACTGAAGAAGTCAAATATAGGGGATGGCAAGCGGTCTTATTCAAATTGGCAGGGAAGAAGTGGGGCATAAAATTTAAATTCTTAAGTTCGATGGGTATTATTAGCTTATTGGGCTTATATCTTCCGCAAAATTTCACACCCAACTGCAAGACCTTTTACCCAAATAGACGCCTTTTTAAGCTGAGTTGTATGCCATTAAAATACATTGTGTATCTGAGGCAGAATGTGGAGAAAGCGGGACGACCAACAAATATAGCCACTTGACAATTTAATTTGATGTAGGGAAGTCTCAATATTACTAGATAAATACAGAAGTTAACTGGCAAGCTAAAAACCTCGTCCTTGAAATATCAACAAGGATAAAAAAACAGTTATTCAATGCATTGTTAAAG